TTGCGCAAGTGGCTTGGCCTCGCCAACTACTTTCGCAAGTTTAGCGCAAATTATGCGGAAATGGCACGGCCATTGTCGAATCTCCTTAAGAAGGATAAGGAATGGTGTTGGTACACCGATCATCGGGAGGCTGTTGATAGGGTTAACGACAGCTTTCTTTATGTTGGTTCTCCACATCTGGCCCCCCGTGCCAAGCACCACTATGGACGAAGATGTCATCGAAGTATGCCTGTGCATACGCCCGGTGAGACTTGAAAAATTGTGTCAAAGGACGATGAAATGTTGCTGGTGCATTCGACAGCCCTTGGGCATCGCCAGCCACTCCCAGAGCATTCCGTACTCACCGCTGTCAGCGGAATATTACTTGCTTTCATGATCAATTGGTAATAACCATCGGTCAGGTCGAGTGCGCTGGACTGGAGTACATCCTTTATAGGAATTGGCGTCTGTGCCGGCATGGTGGCAGCGTTGAGCTTATTGTAAGCGTTGACGATACGCCACTTGCCATTTGGCTTCCAGACACAAAACGTGGATGTCGAATGGGGAGACTCGCTCTCACGCACCATTTCTGCCTCCTGCTTTGCCCGGAAGAAAGCGTCAATGACGTCACACTGCTTCTCAGGCAGAGACCACTGGCAAGTTACCCAGTATTTGGCTCTTGGAACCAGGTCAATCTAATGACGCACACCTCGGTCCAGAGGTATAACCGACGGCGGGTTTTGGAGACGACGTCTTGCAATTTCTTCATTAAAGGATGTGACGGATCCGAGATTTTTCAGGAATCGAGGATCCACTTCGTGCGTTCAGCACCCTCTTGGTATTCTCCAGGACCTCATTCAGAAGCGATGACGAATTAGTCTTATCGTTTGATCCTATAATGACCACCTCGGCTACATTGCCCGCCTTCAAGACACCGCTAACTTTTTGAGAGACATCTCGTCCAGCGCTTGACGAGCAACCACCGCGGAAATAGCCTCGAAAGTGACGTCGCCGTCTTTCTCTCCCGTCATACCGTTGACAAGGGTATATAGCTGTGCGCTAGTGTCTACGGTAGTCACGCTGGGTCAGGGTCGACGACCTTCGTCTTGCAGATAACATACAGCTTTGCTGACTCCTTTCTATAGAGGTTTTATGTCTCATCGAGACTAGTGGGGAACACGCACTAGGCGTCATTCAGTGGTGTCACTTCCTGCTCCATCGGATCCTTGATATTATCAACAACTTCCGACGAAGAGCTGCTATTATTGCAGTCTTCGCCCAGTAGATAAGTGCCGCGTTACGCGCATAAGAAGGGCCTTGCCCAGGATGCCGCGGACCTCGTCCGACCATGCCACTCTCGGCACGCAGCAACTGCTTCGAAACGTGAGCAGTGCATAGTGGATTACGTGTCCCTCCACGGGCATCGCGAGGGCCACGCCCTTGATGCTTCTGACTTCGTCTGACCATGCCATTCTTAGCATGCAGCAGCTGCTTTGTAACGTGAGAAATGCCCAGTGGATTACGTGCCACTCCACATTCAGCCCGCGAGGTACGCTCGAAACTCTAGTCCAAACCACCCTTGGTGTTTGACAAATCGGATACTCCAATATCCAGCACATTGACCGTCCCGGCCCAGTGCCCGCGCCAAAAGCGCTTCTGCTTCCTATCAGAGGTGGATTCATGACTCACCAATAGCTCCACTAGAAGACGTGCGCGTAGCACCCAAGGTCTTCGACCTTCAATCAATCCATGGCTCATGGTGTACCAACCATGCCAAACCAAGGATAAGGTCATACCAAGGATGGGATCATACCTTGCATCCAAGTCTAAGACTATAAAGCTTTCCACTCTATCAAAGTCAAGTAACTTGACATCGAGGCCCACAGGAACCTTCGGCACCGTGACACATATATTCGTCGATAAGCGAACAGTGAAGGTGTCACTCAACCGCGCTTCCAGCACCTCTGCATACAGCTGACTTCCTCTGATCTTTGAGCGTCGAGCATATTTGCCCGACGCAGAATCGATAAGGGTTTTCTATGGCTCATCGAAGCCCTTCACGGTCGCTTTTACGACCAGCAAGCCCGGCTTGTACACACGTTCCGATTTCAACAGCACACAGCTCTTCGAGGCTGGGACCCCTTTGAGGCTCAAAGAACTCAGCTCTCCCTCAGTATGGCACCCCGCTCCTACTGGGTGATGCCGTTTCCCCGCGTTATTCCAGACAGGTTACGTCGGTTCGACGGACCTTTACGCGCCTTGTGCAGGGGACAACCAGTCCGTAGGTAACGGGAGTCCCCACAGACAAAACACCATCGGGTGTTTACACGCTGCTTAGCAGCTCGGAGCTCTCCACCACCTCCTCAGCATAGATGAGATTCATTGGCCCAGTCCCGCTCGACAAGCTATGAGGGTGTGTATTCCGACCAAGTCGTGCCGACTTGAAGAATTCAATGCCATGCTCACCGCTTCTTCAAAAGAAGACGGATGCACGCGAAAAACTTCCAGTTCTGGCCACGCCAGTGCAGAGGCCCTCCATAAAGACGGCCACTGCGACCGCCTCGGGGAGAGGATCTGCTGTCATCCCGGCGATGAGAGTTCTCAAATCTTAGACAAAGTCCACCAACTCCTTCTTTTCGAGCAACCAGAAAACTCGATTTCACGCGACATGCCTGATTAGCACCTCCCAGGAGGGGTACGCAGCTTCAACTAAAGCACCGCGCGTTAGTGCCCACTCTCACGCTCGGCCCCCGAGCTTGGAGATAGCTAGCGCCTCGCACAGGTGCGCGTTTCGGAGTATGGCGGATGTCATAGTCATATCGGCTTCTCTTATCCAGAGTAGGAGTTTTTTTTCATCATACCTCTCGAAGGTCTGAACGCTCACCATGAGCGGCCTGGGTCGAAATGAATCATCCGTCGTCGACGGTGGTGTCATGGACGCAGTCTAGACTAACAGCTTCTGTTGTAAGTGCTCAAACAGAGCATTTTCATCACTTTCAAACGCTTCTAGGCACGCGCTTATGGCCTCAGGCCTTTGCGCATCGAGGTGCCCCACGCACTCAAGGCCCAGCAGGAACATTTGCTTATTAAGCCCGTCCTGCATGCCCTGGAGCAAATTTTTATATGCCTTGATCCTCACAGAGTCTCAGTCGTATCGACTCGGGCGTAGATTGACTACGAGTACTACCAAGTCCAGCAGGCCTGCCGTAGCTCTTTGCTTAGAGTAACCTAAGCTAAGGTCAGCGACCTTACGTTCTTTCCAAGAACCAGTACGAATGTAGCGGATCGCAGTCGCTACCTTCAAGTATAAAGCCTTAACCAAGGCAAACGAACACTTCAGTAAAGATTAAAACCGCATTTAATTGTTTTATTTTGATGCAGAACCGCCAGTATCCAGAACCCTAGGTCTTCCTAATTAATATAGTAACATGCATCACTCCTGGCAATCCTGCCACGTGGTGGCTTCTTCTTACGGTGTAGCCACACCACTGTTCCTGCACTAATTGTGTAATTCACACCTATGTACGGTCGCACAATCATGTGCGACCCGCCCTTTCTTCCACAGGTACGTGAAACTCCGCACTTTTTACAAGGCACGCGTAACCCCGTTACATTTGGGGTGTTTTGCATGTAGCTGGAAGCCATTAACTCATTTTGGTTCATTTGCAAATTTACCTTTAAGGTCTTCAGTCGTTCTTCTTTCCTCCATCTCCCTCTACGTCAGGAATCACTTTCTCGTCGTACAAGTGTGTGTGTTCTGTTTGAGAAACTGTTGTGAACAGCACCCTCTTACAAAAATCCGCTGCATATTAGGTATTAATAAGCATTAATTTCGTGTATTCATTTGAAGATGCAAGCTAGCCAAACATCAACTAACGGTATAGGCTCTCGCTTCAGCTCCTGGCAAGAGAGCACAAGCTCTACTTCTGTGCATCGGACAACGTGGACTTTCAAAGTCAGAACTTCCTCTGTGCAAAGTGCACTGCAACCACGTTGCTATGCGCCTACAGGCGTTTTGATCCGTATTATTTGACAAATTCGGACAAAGACCCACATTTCTAAGCGAGTTCATTTTCCAAGTTACTTTTGTCAAGGTTGCTGACAACACACTGACCTATTGCTACTGCGTAATGGCCAGTCCGTCAAGTAGGGAATGACATCAATATGCGTGAAGGCTGAAGGTTGCAGTGTTCGATGATCCCTTTGTTCACGGGGTTGTCTTCCTTATAACAAATCTTTGACTTTCTGGGCTTCTGTCAAGAGCGGAACCGAACGATAGTACATTTCTGTAAAATTGGCCTGACTCGAATCAAATATCCGTTAAAGTAAAATGCCTCTTATTCTTGACCCTCTCCTTCTTTTGAATTGAAGCTTCGGTAATTAAAATTAATCAAAAGTGCAATGTGAAACTCGCAATATTGTACCAAATTTGTAATGAACGAGTTCACAACATTACTGTACTCCGTTCTACCTTTACTTTTCGGTAGACAAGCACGGTGTCTTCAATGCAGAAAACACGCACTGCACAGCTAATTAGACATGTCATGTACAATACAAAGGCACAATTGTGTAGTGAAAGTTGCTCTGCCAATACAGGAGTCCATCTATTCTCTGCATTTAAGCAAATAAAATACAAGGTGGCTAACTTTATGAAGTATCATAAATAGACTCAGAAATGCCAAGCAATTTAAAAAAGTAGATACACTTTTCAGTAGACAACATATATTTAGAATGTCCGTATCCAGTTGCGATGCTGATGGTGACACCTGTGTTGGACAGAAAAGATCAATAGGTGACTCGGTCATGGACAGTACGCATGTACAATCAATAATATACTCAATATGAATGGAATGTACATTTGCCCGCATATCTTCTTAGACGCCAAGCTCTATTATATGATATTGTTGACTATCCACGTTATCTGGGAACCATCCACACCTTTAACCCAGCCGACATGATTCAGGAGATCATCTCATTCTGGTCTTTTAGTTTGAAACTTGCTACCAACTTGAACTACGACGATGGCGGACTATAACGCCCTCAAAACTCCACGAGTCGATGTGGACTATGAAAGAAGGCAGCCTGAACAGAATGAGACGCTGTCCCCCGCCGTCCACGTCGTCCGCTTCTTCATCGTACTGGGTATCGCTGGCTTTATATTTGGCAATATTGCAACGTGGGCACCGCTCTATGAACTTCACCTTTTGAACACGATGATGGACTGGTGGAATGGATATGAGAATGTACCTGTCGATACCAGTCACGGCCACATGAACTACGTTGTGGACACGGGTATCGGTCGTAACATCACCGAGAGCGGTCATACCGAAATGATTCGACCTACGTTTCTATTCATCTTCTGCATCGTTCCGTTTATCTTCAGCGTGCTACTGATCGAGTATTTGCGTCACATTAATACGGCTCGACGCTTGACCTCCACGCTGATCTGGCGCTTTGCGATGCTTATGCGCCGTAAACCTAAATTTCCAATTCTTGGCGTCTCCCGGTTCTCAGTCGGTGAGTGGTTTGTTGGAGTCGTCTACGTTCTAGGAGGCAATGCCCTATGCTGGTGGTTCCAGTGGGATCGACGCGTTGACGCTGCCACAGAAGCGGGTACCCTCAACACTGACAAGTACTGGAATATTATCGGCATTAGCGCCTCCTACCTGTGCATCTATAATATGGCATTTCTTTTGTTACCTGTCACCCGAAATTCCCCCTGGATGGAGTTTTTCAACCTTTCGTACGCTAATGGCGTCAAGTTTCACCGCTGGATTGGATTTATGACTGTCATCACTGGCGTGGTGCACATGCTTGGCTACTGGATCTATTGGTTTCGCTTAGGCACGTGGAAAGATAACCAGCTTCCATGCACAAGCTGCAATTTTACGCTTGACTATTCTGGTGGCGGTTATTACGCCTGGTTTAATGTCTTTGGTTTCATCTCCACACTTGCTCTTATACTCTTGGTCCCAACATCGTTTCCTATAATTCGTCGCAAGGCCTACGAATGGTTTTACATCACGCACTGGGTTCTGTTTGTTATCGCTGTATTGTTTGCAATCTTGCATTGGGCTCAAATTCTTTGGTGGATCTTGCCAGCAGGCTGTTTGTGGTTCGTAAGCCGAGCTGCTTCTAGCTGGAATTCTATGACTCCCGTTTCGGTGAAAGAGTTTTCCGTCATTGGCGAAGGTCACGATGATCTAATCAAGATTGTACTCAAACGTGCTACACCAGGTATGTCGCCAGCATCTTCCTCCTATGATTATAAGGTTGGCAATTTTCTTTACCTGAACGTACCGCATATCTCGAGGCTACAATGGCACGCTCTCACGATCGCGTCGTCCCCAAGGACAAGCCCCGCAGATGTGACAGTCCTGATAAAGCCTGTTGGAGACTGGTCGAAAAGCTTGGTGCAATACGCAAAGGACTGTCTTCACGATAACGTTATGCCACTGATGTACATGGATGGTTTCTATGGCGCTTCGCTGGAGCTGTATGAAGATTACTCTACGGTGTGTCTGGTCGGTGGCGGTATCGGTGTGACGCCCGTGCTTGCTGTTTTAGACGACATTGCCACCAAATTATCTTTCAATGGTGGCCAATGGACCCAGCGTTTCACCTTCATCTTTACCTTTCGAGAGCTCAGTTTATTCCAGACTGTCACCCCTGTTCTTGCGAGAATCCGCGAAATGGACCCAAGCAAGCAATTCTTCATTACTCACCTGTTTGCGACGGGAACTTACTCCGAAGCTGATCTAGCGAGAAAGCTCGAGTCATCTTCTTTCAAAGACACTATGAACGCGGCGACGGCAAAGTCTGCAAGCCGAGCTGCTCGACCGTTCTACGAGCCACTCCGCTCAAGCAACCTTTTGCGCTTCATTATGTACTCTACGCTCTTTGTGGTTGCAATTGGCATTGTCTTTGCCGTTCGATGGGGGAACGGCGTCATTCAAGGTGACAACCATTGGGAGCTATGGCCTCTCGATCGTGCTTTTCAGCTGGCAATGTTTTGTTTGACAATTTTTGTTGTATATGCATTCGTGTTCTTCGAGTATATCAAGTTCAGTCGCAGTAATGCTACACAAGAGGCGTCTCCAGCTGTAGCTGAAACCCCGCGGGCACATTACGCTGCGTATGGTGGGGATGTTCATTCGATCGGAGATCTTATCAACCATTTTAACGTCGTGATTGGTAAACGCCCCGACATGCAGTCCCTGCTACAACAAACGCTAGAAATTCACAAGATGGATGATATGTCGGCAAGTCTGTTGCCTTCCGTCAGTGTCATTGTGTCCGGACCACCTGCGCTTAAAATGGCTACAAATGAGGCCGTGTACGCTCTGGGCGGTGGTAACTTTGACGTCCACGAAGAAGAGTTCGAGTTGTAATTATGATATCGATTGAAGCTTCCAAAAAATAGATCTCAGGCTCATACGTGGGCAAAAAATTTTCACGAATGTCCGAAAATGGCCGTAATGACCTCTGATGCTGTACATTCTTATGGTCTGTATGATAATAATGTGTCATTAAATTCGTAGAGCTCGCATATTTCAACCACTTTCGCATTTATTTCCACTTCCTCTTTGACCAACCCATTCGGACCCACAACATTTCACAAGCAATACAACTCCTTCAGAAACGCTTAAAACCGAAGGTGAGCGTCCTTGATACAGCAGCATCTGAGCGCACCAATAGTTTGATTATATAGAGCTAACGTTCGGCAGACAAATAGACTGCTTTATAAAACACAAATCAGAATTCGGGATTAAGCAAGGACGGAAGCCAAACCTTGGCATTAAATCCTCAAATGGAACTGCCCTATGACGCAGTGGAAAGCGGTTAGCCGGTGAATTTGCCAGAACATTCATTGCTTAAATCTCAACATCCAAAGCTACTTAGGCATCAAACACGTGCCCACTCACATACAAACGAGGAGCGGCAGGAATCAGAAAATGTAAATCTTTGCAAGCTCGATGAGCAGTACGAAATTTGTGTTGGTCAATGCTACAGCTAAACAGCAATTGGAGTAACTACGTTACAAACTAAGCTTTATTGTACTCAACTACATGAGTATCTTTCTCACAAATTACATATGAGTAATCCTGGACGATTTCAAGAAGCAAAGCATTCTGTCGCTGACAAATGAACCGTAATGCACACAACCCAATCTGGTCTAAACAAAACCAGATCCAAAACGCCTTAAAGCGCATGCACACTCTTGCCACCACCAATGCGCTACAGATCTATGCGGACAATGTTGTAGGCTACTTAACTCATTATACGTGAGATGCTGTACGTACACCTTCCACTGTGAAAGCAATCAGTTTTAAATGGATATCTGTATGCGAGTTTAATACTTAAAGTTTACTTTGTTGTTTGCAGGTTTTGATATGGTCAATGTAAAATTGTCGCGTTTGTCAGATAACTCTGTAATCTATAGCGTCTTCGATTATAGAGCATCATTAACAGTTTTCAAAACAAGTTGAAATTTGTTAAGTATCTGTAATAAACAACGAATGATGCAATTTAAGAGCATTTTAAATGGAGGTCGCGTCTGGCGTGATATAGCGACCTTAATACAGTGTTTAGAAGAAGTAAATGAGGTGATACGCGCTAATGTGCTAGCGACGCTAAAGCAGGCCTTCTCACCACAAAGATTAAGCTTCGCTGAAAGTCCCAGGATGTGAGGAATGACTACCAAAATATCTATAATATGATGCAGCAACAAATTAAATTACTCGTTGCTACAATATGCGTCCTGTTAGCAAATAATGTAGACCGAAAGCAATATGAATGGATTGTGCGCAGCGTGAGTTAAGTAAATGGCAATATTGGATGCTGTGACAAATACGCTTATCATCGCTATTAGTGCGAGCTAAAACTTTGTGGTCATAGTGTCTTTATACAATTCAAATTCCTTTGAATGTCTGTACATACCCAACGCTGTTTTTTCATGAAAATGGAAATTTTCACTGTCCACTTTACTTACTCTTAATATTGCATACTTAAAGTCATTCGAGCGAAGACAGATTATGACGTTATGTTCTGATTGGCCGATGGTAATGTTGAGATTACGCCCTCAATACTGTTAAAGAACGGTGTTGCGGATACATGTCTATATTTTATGCATGTTCGTTGGTGCAGAATTAGAACTCAGATGGGTTCATGACAGAGGGTTCAAATCGTCCAAGAGATCAACGTGGGGTACCTAGCCAGTATCTACATCCCCTCGTCGTTCTTAATGGTTTACCGACCAGATAGTTAATTTGGTAAAGATATGAACCTCTTAGAGCGAGAAATTATAAAATTTTTGCTTTGGGTTCACAATTAACAGCCGCATCCAATTCTTCCTTCAATATAGCGTTCGTACCTATAACGGGGTTACACGTACCCTGAGAACAGGGGTGTGTGTCACACGAGATGTGCATGGTGTGACTGCACCCAAACAAGAATACAGTATGTGGCTAAGTAGCCAGTAGTTATGCTTTACTGTATCTATTTAGTCTATTTAGGAAAATTTAAACTTTTAAAATTAGGATAAAAATCAGTTTCGATTCTGAACAAAAGTGTTCGTTTGCCTTGGTGAAGGTTTTAAGTACTCTTGAAGCGATCCGCTGCACTAGTACTTGTTTCTTGAAAAGAACGAAAAGTCGGTGACCAGAAGTACGCTTCCTCAAGCGTTTTGCTACGGCAGTACCGCTGCAGTACTTAAGATGAAAAACAAGCACACCAAAGTCCTAAATCTGGGAGCTCAAAGTGAGGATGACTTTGGCGCCAAAGGGTTTTCTGGGGTAAATCATGACCATCAAGGACGAGGGCGATATCACAGAGACGTGGCATCTGAACGACGCCACGGCATTGGGTATCATTGCGCAAGGCGTTGAGATTCAGCATCAGACTAAGATACGGTCAGCCACGAGTGATATGGAGTCATTGGGAACGTTGTGTGGTTTTACACTCGCTCGACACTACTCAATCGCATAACAATGACGCGACAAATTCACGACTGCAAAATTAACTGTGGTACTAGCATGGCGAAACATCTAGACACTTTTGACGAGCTAGTTTTGGATATCCCAGCTCGGGAATTGTGGGTCTCTGGACATTGGTAGATCCTACTGACGAGTCGCGCCAACTTCGCAGCAGTCTAACGTCAGAATATGATTTGATCACATCGCCTGTAGAAAATGCGAGAAACATCACATTGATTTTAGTAAAGGAGACGCTGTTCAAAGAATCAGAGTCACTGGAGTCTACAGAGAAAACATTTCGCGTAGATGGGAACGCTGAAAGATTTAAAGGGTTAATGTTTAAAAAGGTGGCGCTCTACGCAATATCGGCTAATCAAAGTGATTGTAACCAAGTTGGTCATGTGAAGCGAAACGGAAGGCGTATCAACAATGATGACGCGGTATTTGCAGTGGACGAGGCATGAACCGCAAGGTGACTCATTTGCAGTGGCGCAACATCCCCCGCACAAGAAGCACTTTTTTGAATATATGGACGTTGAGGCAAGCATTGACGAATCAATTGCAGAGGGCAAATTACTACTCTTCAAAGTAGCCGGCAATGTGGAGATGAATTGTTTGGGTAAATTGAGGCTTCGCATGATTTTTGTTTTATATCAAAAGACTTGACACAAGATTGTTAAAGGTTGGCAAGCTTGAGAACGCGGTATGAGTGTCAAGTTTTTGTGGTCTGCGTGTGTCATCTAGAACTAAAATTTGGTGATTGCATCAGGTTCATGAATCGATATAACGTACATGCGCGACTGTAAGTAGGAAGAAGAATGTTACTTGGAGTATTCCGGGGCTGACACCCAATAGAAGCTTTGACACGCCTGCATGGGATACCCAAAAGTGAAAGTCTTACTCAAGACATAGTGCTTGACCAAAGGCATTACGATGATCAAGCAAGAAAAGAAACACTGTGTGCAGATTGTGTAAAGGAGACACGGCCTTTCTCTCGCGTTCGATGACAAAAACGACACGACACATGTTCTGAAGTACATACCCACAGATATAACGGTTCCAACGCGGAATTCGTCGAAAAGAGATGCAAAATATTTTCTCACTTTTTTGATGAATTCTTAAGATATACCGCAAATTCTTTGACCAAGACCAAAAATGAAGTATCTGGCAAGCTCAACAAATTTGAGAGTCTTATTAAAATTAATTATGTGTCTGTCTCAAATGCCTATAATTCGACAACTCAACAGAATTCGTGAGCAAACAGATTGTAGGCGGAGCAGCATCGTCCGCTTACGTTCTTTTTCATATGTTTCTCAGCATAATAGATATCTTTTAACTGAAAAGGTGAGTGGATGCAGTAAAGACATCAAATTATTTGGTAAATAGCCCAACAAATACACCCCATCTCGACATCGCACCAGAGCTTCTTGTTGATCCTTGGCATTGGCTTAGTCTTGAAACCCGCTATATCGCGTATAAACGTAAGCGATCTAGCTTTGAGTACTTCGTAAGCATATCTACAAGCTGATATCACGTCAATCTTCATGTTCCTTCTTGTGATTCTCCGTTTGAAATGGTGCCTTATATCCACAACCTTCTTCCGGGCATGGTATCCGGCGTTGTTGGCCAATGCGATTGTTCCTTGGTCATTGAAACTTGGCTTGTCTCCATGGATAGTAAAGCCAAGAGTAAAGAATAAAGTTAAAATTAAATCACGATAAGTCTATGCCAAGAAGCGTGATCAGAATGGCACTGTTGCGCACGACTTGTCACGAAGGGTTTCAAGCAAAGGTACGGAGTCGATTTCTTCACCGGTTGCCACCATAAACCAATTCATTTTTTTGCAGGTTGTGCCAAATACGACCAACAAATGGAACAACTGGATGTCGATAGTGCTTTTTGAACAGTGTGCTGACAGGGTTGTTTACACGGGAGCCCCGCGTCGACAATGCTCCGGGGTACGTATGTCAATTATAAAAGGCTACATATGGATTGAAACAAGCAGCATGTGCCTGGAAAAGGCAACACATCATTTATATGTAAACAAAGGCTCTAAGGGCTACCGAGGGGCACGGTGCGTTTATGTAAAGCGATCACCGGAAGGTTTTGTCTACGTCAGACTATATGTGGCATCAGAAACAAACAGGTAGATTAATCACGTCAAGGAAATACTCAAGAACGAAATTCAAGATGAAGGAGCTGGGCAAGGCGGAATTCAGTCTGATCGACCACGAAGTGTCAGTCAAAATACTGATGATCAACAGACCTGCTACATTGACAATGTGGTCAGACGATTCGGTCAACAAGATTCCAAAAGTATTGACAACCCGTGCGCATCAGGATTATAATTGTCGTCAACGCAGACTCCCGCAACTAAAATAGGGTCGTTTGGTGGGGCGCTCGAGCTATACGATCCT